TGTTCCTTGTGCCAAACGGGTACCCCTCAACCTGCCCCCCCCCCGAGCAACTGCACCCTCCTCTCTTCTCAAGCCAGGCTGATGTTATCACAGCCCAAACACAATGGGACTCGAAAGCATGTGTCACATATCCCACGAGTGCTGCTGCTGCCCCTCAGGTACAGTGTCGGGTACTGGCACCCTGTAGCTCACAATGGCTTATTTTTAAGGCTATTTAAGGATTATTTTTAATCCTCTAAAAGCAGTTAGGTCCACACACAGAGAAGCCAGCTAATCTCACATGTCTCAGTGAAATCCTTTGTTTCCTAGCCCAGCTCTTCCCCTCCAGCCTGCTGCCTTCTGGTAAGGAGTCATGAGCCGAGCCACATCCTGCGTAGACAGTACCTAATGCCTCTGCTCCCAGCGCTGGTGGGAGAGCTGGCCAGGGGCAGCATCACCTAACCCCTACCAGAAGCTTTGTTTTCTTTAACATTATCCATGATTACAAGAGGAAAGGTTTTCCAGCAACAGCACCACCATGTGAGACTTGGAGAGTGTTTCTTCGCTTTAAGCTGATCGCCGCAGCCTTGCTAGGTTCAAAGCCAGGGTAAGGCCATTTCTCTGCTGGGGAACAGCAAATTGCTGGACAGCAGTTTAATGCAGTTGCATTGATATCATCCACAAAGGCCTTGGGCATGCCAGAAAGCAACGCTGCATACTGAAAGGAGTTTATGCTTTGTCTAAGTTAATGCACTCCTCCACTTGCAGGCAGGTGAGAGAAGTGGAGTTTCAGGCCATGTCAGCTAGCTGCAACTGGGATACAGGGGCAGTAGGGCTGGCACAAAGCAACCTGCCACAAAGGCACAGCTCTGCCTGCCATAAAGAGCACAGTCATGTTTCTTCCTACCTCAGAATGGACCCGTTGGGTCTAACATCAACTCTTTTCTGTTACAGCATCCGGAGGACTGGCTGCACCCTCATCATCAGTGGCACCATCACCCTTCCAAATGTTAATGTTTAACAGCGTGCTGCTTTGTGGGATCTTCTCTGCAATGCCTTAGGAGAATTATGTATATCCTCTGGGAGCTGGGGGAGCTGAACTAAACAGTCCACAGTTCTCTTCATTGCCATTATCGCTCATTTTTGCCTTACACGTTTTTAAGGTTCAGTGTTTCTCCCCTGCTCCCAGCCCTCACACACCAGTGTACAAAGTGTGCTGGACAGGGCAGAAGCACACTGCAGCTACAGGCACTTCAGCTCACTAAACGCATAAGTGCCTCAGGAGAGTAATTATGCAGGGATGCAAGGCCACAGAAACGATGCTCTGCTACACCGCTCTGACAGGCAGGAAACAGAAGGGCACTATACAATCACAGCGATGCAGAAAAGCTGGATGCACGTCTCCAGTCTGTCTCTTGCACAAACTTCAGCATGCACAGCTAAATGCCAATCCTTTCCCATGACTCCACATGCTCTGGAGGCTCCCAAGAACATTTTCCTGCCATTATAGTTCCATGATCTGAATAGATGTAGGAGATCCAAAGCCCTTTAGTTACTCTAGATTTTTGGAAACATGCCTAGATACAAGGACAAACGTCCCAGGCTGGCACTTCTAGTCCCACCATCAGTTCAGACTCCAACCACATATTGCTCCTCTGATGGATGAAACCCTACCACAAGCCCTGGGACAGCAGTGCAGGTTGTTCAGCGAGTAAGGGATAGAAGAACACCGAGTTTCACCAAACAAAATACCCCTAGTGCTAGAGCTGTGTCTTGCCTTTTGTATGAAGTTTGCAGAGGTGGGGGAAAGAGGGAGGGAAGGGATTTGGAGACAGGGAATAACAGAAAAAAAGCACTTTAAAGAGCTGCAGGGCTGAAGGAGGCCTTGCAAGGAGTTTGGCAGTAGACTGTATATCAGTGCTACTGAATGTACTGCTAGTTAGGGCAATGCCATGTATAAACTACAACAGTGGCTTGCATATGAATTTTCAATGAGCTGTTAGTACACCCAATGAATCCAGCACAAGAATACCAATTTAGAGCAGTGTCAGCCTGCTCCACAAGATCAAGTAAATAACTCCGTAAATAACTCAAGCAAATTCCCTGGCACTTTATTGAGCATGAACGAACAACCAACCAAACAGAAAAACCTCAGAATCACTTCTACAGCCACTACAGGCTGCAGGAAACCAGAGCTAGGGGAGATGCTGGCCCGGAGCACGCTGCACCAGCCATCTCCTTGCCTGCCACTGGGATAAGCAGGAGGGAGCTATGTCTTTCCTGCTCTTGTTATGGTCGGATGCAAGGGCACACACTGGGAAAGGACCAACTATTGGGATTAGCTCCCAGGACATTTAGGTAGGATGTATATTGTCTTTACATTTTTTATATATACATATTTATATATATTTTATATGTATATACATTGTAGGACGTATATTATCTCAGGGCTACAGCATGTATTGAGGCAATTCATTACATACCTCCTGCAAACATGCCCATTCCTGCCTGCTTTTTCACACCCTGATCACAATCAGCTTTTGAGCATCTATGGAATAATATTTCACTGAGACAGGTAAACTGACTGATAAACAAAAGACACTCTTAAGAACACTATTTGGGATAAGACATGTGGGTTAGAGTTTCTCCCCACACACTGCGTCTTAGGGGACTTGCTCCAGGAGTGGATCAGAAGGGGAGGACAGGGAGTTTAAGGCTGAAAAAACCCAGAGGTTTTTACCAATGTTTTTCCCTAAAAAAGAGTATACAATAGTCTACAGATTGCTCCTGTGCATGCCAGCATCCCAGGGAAGGTCACCCTGCAGCCTGTATTCTGCTCTCTTTCTTGCAGAGATTGTGCCTCTAAAGCTCACCGCAATGCAACACTCGTTGTTGGTCCTGGCCAGGCTAGCAGCGTTTCCTGTCACTGTGTGCTCAAAGATTAAGCAATCTGCTGCCTAGAAACTCCACTGAGAAGTATCTGGGCGAAGATTCACCCCAAACCCCAAGAAAGCAGCAGCAGGGAAGCTCAGTGCTTACTGTAAAAGCCAAGTGCCCCTGACTCAGCACCAACATGCCTCCTCCTACCCTAGAAGCCAAGCGCAGCAGGCAATAATCTCTTCTAGCAACCTGAAGAACCCAAACACGACATGGCCTATGTTCACTTCACATTACTAATCATACAACTGTGCATTTGAGCAGTCCATTACCAGATGGGTTTCAGGATGATTTTAAATGTTAGCTTGCATTTTCTTTGAACATTTAAATGTTCATGCTGGCCTGTTTTCCTTTCTTATGCAGCGCATTGATTTATGTTGCTAGATACCGTATCTCCCTGCCTTGCCAAAAGCGTGCATTTGGGAATGATTTCAGAGCTGCTAGTAATATTTTTTCTGTCCTTTTATTCTGTACTTTATTTTTATTAACTTTTTTGCTGGAAAGATTGTTAAAATAAAAGCATCTCCTGAAGAAACAAAGATAAAACCCCAAACCCCCCCTCAGCCCTTTGCCCATCTGCTTCAGGCACCATTTTCAGAGCAGTTGGCTCTGGGGCCAAGAGCAGAACAAAAGCAGCAGATATGTACTGCCATACCTATCCAAGCTTCCCCTCCTTCAGGAAATCCATGTGTGGGAATCGGCCAGGTCCATGATCAGGACTCCAGATGTCCCATCCTACAGAGGCAGGAGGTGACTGGAGACACTTGACTGGCCACTCGTATTTAACACTCTCTGTCCCCCTTACCACACAGACACCATGGCTTGTTCTTGCCTGCCCTCAGAGATCCGCACTGACACAGATCACAGCAGCCACCATCAACTCCACTGGGGAGCCCTGAGCACGCACCAAGCTGAGACCTGGAAGGCAGCAGCTAATCCTGCCTGGTAGCTGCCCCCAGTGCAATGCAGCACAGATTTTCATTGCCAGCCCTCAACCAGGAACACAAACACACACATCCCCACCTCTCTCCAACACCTTCCCATTTGGGTTGCACAGCTCCCAGACTGGTTTGCATCCCCAGGCACACACGAAAGACGGTTGGGGCACAAGGTACAATGAAGGCTCTTTCACCCTCAGCATGCTGATAACACACTGTCCATCCCCAACCCCATCTGCTCGCTCAGGTAGGGGATCTGCCCATCAACATGAAATGCAGTCTGCGGAGCCGAGGCTATGCAGCGTTGAGTGCTCCACATGAATCACAGTTGCTGGGGGTATAAAGCACCAGCCACCCTTCTCAAACTCCTGCCAGCACAGACCCTCCTTGGCTGTATTTCTGAGCTGCTCCATGCTGCAGGAGCAGAAGGAAGAGGTAATTGTCCTTCAAGTGTCACCTCTGAAAGTTGCAAGTGGGGACAGGAATAGATTAGTTTATCTGCAACAAATAGTTAATACAGCCAGCTAGTAGCTCCAGAGAGAACAGTCAGGGTTCTAAACAACAAAGTAACGTGTCAATAATGTGAAGCAAGCTTCATTACAAGGTTCTGAATGCTCATCCGCACAGGCAGCAAGCAAAGATGATGGTGCCTCTTCTTGAACACTCTGATAAAGCCAGAAGGAGACCAATCGCATAGGGCTTTTTTACAAAGAAAGTGGCACTGCTTCACTAGGTTTGGTTAGGACTCAAACACTCCCTGCCCATCCATGTGGGGGCAAATAAACTTGTGACAGAAAACCAGTTCCTTTTGTGTGGAGCTTAGGAAAGCATCAAGCAGAGCCTGGGGAAAGTTTTACTCCTCAGTGCCTCTTGGAGGAGTGGCTTTCACTTCATATTATACAGAAAGATTCCCAGCAGGTAGAATTACCACCATAAAAATCAATGCAAATACGTACACCCACCAGAAACTGCATTTCATTTATAACACCTCATCCCCACCTGAACGGTGAGCACACCACCAAGGCAGGGAGCCCAGCCAACAAAGGCAAGGCTTGGCACCCTTGGTGCAAGCATTTCTACACAGAGCGGCTCAAACAATGAGTAGAAGGATGGTTAAGCACAGGTCAGAGCAAGCTTTGTACTCACCGATCCTCAGGGAATGGGGGCTGGCAGCGATCCTCATCAGCCACAGCAGAAGGAGCACCAGAGGCGCCAAGACACGGGGCATCTTCCATAAATCCTCATGGAGCCCTTTGGTGGTCTGGGCATGACATAACTCTCTGTAGAGAGAACACAAAGCACCATGAGCACCTCTGCTCTTGAACCAGAGACTCAGCAGGATGACACCGCTTCGAGCTTGCCAAGCACTTGGGACAAAGAGTCTATTCACCAAAGGAGGAGGAGGAGGAAGCTATTTACAGACTATGAATTATTCAGAAGAGCTTCCAACAAAAAAAAAAAGAAAAAATAATAAATGGAAGCAAAACAAGGAAAAGTCCAAATATTTCGTTTTGGCATTTTTAGCATTGCCACAAAACCAAGTGGAAATCAATACTGAGTCAGATCTTTAACTTCTCTTTCCACCTTCCTCCCTTTTTTTCCGCTCAAAGCAGCCTACACCTTAAACCAGAATACTGACTTCTGGTTTTAGGCTAGGACAAAGCAGTTGCATACCAAAAATATAACTGGGGCCACCAAACTACCAACCTATTATTTGCACTGCTCCTGCCCCAGTGACAGTCACCACCTCTTTCCCTCCCTTTCAGGTGCGAGAGGATTCAGGACAAGACTAAGAGCAGGACCACTTTTTGTTGCTCCTCTTACAGGGCGGATTTCACTTTACAGGAGAGATGGTTGTACCTCAAGTTGATCAAATTATCTCCAAGGCAGCAATGTCCTTAAATGCAAACTATTTAATCTGTTTCCTTATCTCTCCCCTTGTCCAATTATCTGGCAAACATTCTCATGCTATTCCATTTGTCTAATTCTTGGGCTAAATACTTCAGTCCTGACACAGGCAAAGTCTTTACCCTGCCTTGGAAGTCACCAGGAGTTTTGTTGGAGAAAGACAAAGCTTTTAACTTGGAATTTTTCCATTTGTCTCATTTTACATTACATTCCCATTTCCTCCATCTCATCTCAGCGCTCCTCAGAACAGCTCACCCCTTTTCACAAGGAAAGAAACACCGACATGTGCCCATAGAACCAAAGGAAATACAGGGGCTGAGCAGCATCTCCATTCCATGGGGCTTCATTTCTCTACGGATCAATGCCTCCCATTCATCCTGAGTCCCAGTTCTCTCAGGTAGAGAAAATCAAGGGACTCCATGCTCTAGTATCAGCTGGACATTTGAAGATGGCACAAGTTGTGAGTTCAATGCATTTTTAACAAGCAAAAGCTGCCAATACCCACCAGGAAACCATTAGCCCCCTCTGAGAAAGGCAATGACAATTTTGCCTTCTTTTTAGTGGGAGTTACAGGTTAATTCCTAGGGAGTCAAAACCCCTAACAGGTGAAGTGCACGGTAAATCGGTTATGTGGAAGCGTTGGCAGCAGCACAGATTGTGGAGCAACGTTATCATTTGAGCACTTTGAAGCAGCTCTTTCCAGACTTCCCAAGTTATTGACCGAACAGCAGGATCACATCAGATTTATTCCCACCCGTACCACCAGCACCAAAGTCGCACACAGGCACACACACACATCCCCTCTCAATCCTTCCCTGCAGAGCCACAGAAGGAGCCAGAGAACCTCAAAAGAAGCTTGAGTTCTGCAGCCCAAAGAGCTGCATCATGCTCAGGATCGGCTCCAAAGCCACTGCACAAGACCCACAGTCTTCTTCTCTTCCTTTATGTCCTGCGCTGCCGCCCTAGGCATGCTTTCCATGCAAACAATGTCCTGAGCAGCCAGCCGGTGGTGATTAACTACATGTCAACTAGCAAAGCATCTGATAAAGGACCTCAGATGTGGTTTGCCTTATTTCTCCTCTATTGTCGCCTCCTCCCTGGGCAAGGCAGTCTAGAGGAGACTACAAGAGCCATCAGCGACAGAGACACAGGAGAAAGGCTTCAAACACATCTTGACACACGACTACAAACCTGTCAAATGCTCATCCCTGCTGTTTCCTCACCACAGCATTGCCTCTTTGCTCAAAAGAACAACTCATCAAAAGGGTTTGTACCAAAAACTAGCAGAAACCTTCGGCTCTTTGCACCTTGCCATCGCCTTTAGCAGGGTACCTGCACCCTCCACAGCCCATTCCCACTTCTCACCCCTCCCTTTTGCACATCGGAGGGATGAACCACAAGGCCAATTCTCCTGTTTGCAGCCTGGTTTGGGGAAGAGGAGAATTACAAGATTCCCAGAGAAGCAGCTGCCTTTGCATCACCAGCTCAGTGCTAATAGCAAAGCTAAATAATAAATACAGGGCACCCGCTGTGCTATGCTACATGAGCGGCAGGGTTGTAATTACCTAGAACATGGAGCACAGAGGGATGCTGCGTTCACCTAACGCATTACCCACTGCTAAGAACGGCTTCCCAGTGCTTGGATTTTTGAGCGCAAACCCAAGGAGCATCTGTCAGCAGTAGAAATACACCTTGGGGTTCGCCAAAGAGCAGAACTACACAGGTTCCTGCAACCCATAGCCATCGACCATCTGGCTGATGGAGGTGCTGGCAAAACAGCCAAGGATTGCAACACATGGGCACTTTGGCATCATCGCACCTGTGCCACCGAGCAGTGGGAACAGACATGGGAATTCAAGACTTAGGATGAGAGGGAGGATTTTTCCTCCTTGCCTAACATCAATGTATCTACTCTCAGAAGAACAAAGAGGGATTTCAGTCCTCATGGCTCTTTAACGCCTGAAACCCCAAGGTGCTCCTGTCTCCTACTCTCTAAATTCAGGTGTGAAAGGGTGGCAAACACAGTTCAAACCCCTTCTTTGTAAGGTAATGTTTGCCCTGCCGAGCTAGCCATCCTCCCAAAAGCTTTTGCTTCTTTACAGCTGCAAGGTGCACCTTTCCCTCTCTCATCTCCCCATGTGCAGTAGCTATAAAACACGCTTTCTGCCCGAGAGCAGCAATGACTCGTAGGCATCAAGTCCAGTGCAGCCTCCGATTCCACACAGAGAGGGGAGGATGATAACCCTCTTTCGTGCAACACAAAGCAGAAAGCCTCAGAAGCCAAGAAAACACTTAAGAGATCAAGGGTATTTAGCAACTTGCTGCACTAATTCTTGTGCATGTGGAGATGGCTTATCCCAGGCTCATTTTCTCACCACAGTCTGCTGGAAATAAATCAAACCAAACTTCCTTTACTCAAGTTTGCACCAAGAACACGCCAGCCTGTTTATACATGCACAGCTCTTGCATCAATGGTTTCCCTTTTATTACACTGGCAGTGTGCTCTGACAGCAAGCAAGCCTGGTTGATGGACAGCTGTTTATAAAGCAGCCTGAATCTGCTACCTCCAAAAGGGGTAGGCTGGCTAGAAAAGACTTTCTTAGGTCCTTCAGGGTGGTACATGAGTTGCTCAATAGGCAGTGGACCATAAGGTGGCCCCTGGCTTCTCTCTGCACAGCTCAAGCCTGTAATTCTTTTCCTGCTAAGCCCTTCTTCATCTTTAGCTCTGAAAATTCAAGAGAATAAAATAAATCAAGACCACATTGAAGAGTTTTGAGCTCTCTCTGGAGATAAGTCTCTAAATACCAAGCAGAATTATGGACGATTTGCTCCTCAGAGGAAGCAACTTGCTTCTGAAACTACTTATACATTTTTAATGACTGTGAGGTAGCAATGAAGAAGAGCACCATTGCCACACCGTCCTGGGATTATGAGATCTTAGACAGTACGGCAACAGCCAAAAGGCAGAATAAAATGCTAAATCACAGAATAAACCCCTCCTGAAGCTGCCACACCAACGGTCAAGGTATGCCTGAACACCAGCCACCTCCTTCCTCTCCCTCTTGTTCCCTCTTACCAAGAACACGTGAGAAATCCAGGCTCATTGCTCTGTTTCTGTTCACGCTTGCAAAGCTATTACCACCCTGAAAACCTGCTTGCCACCTGCCCTGCCACCTTTGTCCCGTCACATCTGTCTCCAGCTGAGGAGCCCTGAAGATGGGCTGCACTCCATCAAGGTAAGGCACAGCATCTCCAGCTGCGCTTCGCTCCGTGGTCCTGGAAGGAGGCTGTCAGAAACCCCAATGTGTGCTTTATATCCTGATGTAACCTCCCTTTTCTTCTACTGCAAACCCCCTACACCATCGTCTGCAAGCTCGCTGAGAAACCACAAACACCCTTTAAAATTGGCAGCAACTTCAATCTTATCCAGGCAATCGGGAGGCAGACTTTTACTCAAACGCTACTTTGGAGGTGGCTTTGGTGTTGATGGATCTTTCCGTGCATCACCAGAAGCTTGATGAATGGTGAGAAAATGCAGCTCAAGCAAAGCTAGAGTAATCCTCGCAGCTGAGACAACAAATTTAACAGCTGCAGAGCAGCAAGGAACTCTGAAGAACTGTCAGGAAATATCAACAAACAACTTAACAGAGCCTTCTTCGTTCTTTCGACAAGCAGAGAAAGCTATTTCCTCTCGCAAAGCTTCATCTGCAGAGAGGCTCCGATGTAAATGGAACAGACAAGAGGGAAAGCAACTGGAAAACATTTCAACAAGTGACTGTTGCTGGGCTCGAAAACGTGCCTGTGTGTCTCAGGGGCAGGGGAGGAACTCAATTGCAAGCCTGCCCCAGGGATACAAAGAGGTAAGTTCAATTAAACTGAAAAATCACTCCATTTAAAGCTACCAACAGTATGTTTTCCTCTGCAAACTGCATAATTAGCATGGGTAAATCATTACCACCAGGTACGGTTGCAGTCAAAACCTCGGGAAGACTGAGAGACGGATCAGATGTGTATAAAGAGAACGAATAGCTGGAATTACAATAGTCAAGTTGGGGGGGGGGTTAAAGAGAAAATAAGGTTTTGGAAGGCATGTGAAACCCTTCATGCTGCAAGGCACTGGCTAACTCCCTGTGTCTGAGGGTTAGAAGAATCACCCCTCGGGGCAAGCCTCTATAAGCTGCTTCTGAAAGCAGCTAGCACTGAAAAAGCACACATAACAATACGAAGCACGGCTCTGTTCCAGTCTAGCAATTTCTATGTTCCTATAAAAACTATGTCTCCTTTGAGATTTCATCAGCATTAAAGAGCCTGCTTTCCTTTCAGCCACCAAGCCTCTCCCCTCCTCACATTGCCCTCACAATATTCACACTAT